GAATAAAAAAAAGTTAATATTTAAAGCCTGACGAGGCGAAAGGACGTGTTTCTACATCGTCTCTCAGAATTTACTTATTTTGCAGTGAAATCTTTGAGATTATTTATTCAAAACAAGTCAAGAATACATAATAACAATTGATATTTATTGTTTGTTATAAATTATAGGGTTATTTTTATTTTATTTTATTTTTTTTTTTTTCATTTTTTTTTTCCCTTATATGCGATATCACAATCAGGCCATGTCTAGTAGAGCTTCTATCAAGAGAATTCGGCCGTTAGGCTCAACACCTTGTTCTTCGCCTGTCAAACAAAAGCCTCGTCAATGTCGTCAAACACCTGCAGTAACGCCTATTAGCTCCAGAGAAAATGAAACCCAGCCAGGAACATCATCAAAACCAACAATTGAAGAACTTCAGCATCAACCAGGTACATCTTCACAAGAGATAACCGAACAATCTCCGTTTTTCACCCCTAACCCCTATCAGGTGCTTCAGAATGATAAAGAAGTGATGGAATCCGCTTCAATACCAAGAGATCCCCGACCTCCACCCATATTCGTTAAAAACATAAGCAATTTTCAGTTACTATGCTCACAACTGAACAAAATAACAGGCTCTGGAAGCTATTCATGTCTAAGCAGAACAAAGGACACGAAGATATCACCAGATACAGCTGAAACCTACAGAAAAATTGTGAAGTATCTAACGGAAACCAACGCGGATTTTCATACGTACCAATTACGGCAAGATCGAGCTTTGAGGGTAGTCATAAGAAATCTACACCCCTCAACACCAACCGAAGCAATAGAAGAAGAATTGAAAACTTCAGGTTTCATAGTGCGCCAGATTACAAATGTACAGAAGGAGAGTAAAGAACAGCCAGGAGTAAAAGTTCCTCTACCCTTATTTTTCGTAGATTTGGAGCCAAATCAAGGGATCGAAAAAATATACGAAATAAGAAGAATATACTACACAAGTGTTATAGTAGAGAAGCCATATCCTAAGAGGGAAATCGTACAGTGTCACAATTGCCAGGCATATGGCCATACCAGGACTTACTGCCATCATCTGCCGCGCTGTGTGAAATGTGGAGAGCAGCACAAATCCGGGGAGTGCACAAAACCGAAACGGGATCCTGCAGTTTGTGCATTGTGCCTTGAAGGACATCCAGCGAACTACAAAGGCTGTCAGATCTACAAGAATATTAAATCAAGATATCAAAAATCCCGGACCCAAGAAGAAGCAGAGGCATCAAGAAGAGAACCTAACGCATCAAGAAGAGGACCTTCAAAAAAAATTGACCCAACGGTGTCTTTTGCACACTTATTAGGAGGTAAGAATGATGTTACTTATTGTGAGACCCTGCCGCAACAACAACACATACCTCAAAATTCTCAACCCCACCCTCAACATCCTAATCAAACTTCACCTAATCAACAGTTTTATCAACACCAAATTCCCCGCATTCCTCCTCCCTCAAATACCACAGATCTCACCAGTTTACTTACATCTTTCCTCTCCGAATTCAGATCCCTTGTTACTCCTTTGATATCTCTTCTCACCAATCTTGTATCACATTTTATCCCTCCCGCGAAAAATCCTTAAATGACTTCCAATAAACCTTTATCCATTCTCCTTTGGAATGCGAATGGTGTTAGAAATCACACAAACGAACTAACTACATTATTACTTGACAAAAATATTGACGTGGCACTAATTACTGAAACTCGACTAACCACTAAACAGCACTTCAAAATACCACAATACCTGACATATCGTACTGACCACCCTGACGGAAAAGCACATGCCGGTACTGCTGTCATTGTACACCAATCCCTCTCCCATCACCTACTCCCGTTACCTACACATGATTTCCTACAGTCCACCGCTATCGTGATAAAAACCTTTTCCTTTCCGGTTACCCTTGCATCAGCGTATTGCCCTCCTAACCGATCCATATCCAATGCCCAATTCCGTTCTCTCCTCGACTCCTTAGGACATCACTTCATCTTGGGTGCAGACCTAAATGCCAAACATCAACAATGGGGTTCCAGAACCACGAATACTCGTGGCCGAACCCTGCTGTCTGCACTCAATTCCCAACATTTTCACCTCCTTTCCCCCAACTCTCCTACCTACTGGCCTACAGATCCCAACCGTAATCCTGATCTTCTTGATTTCTTTATCCACAGCGGCTTAAGTCCCCTCAATTGTTCCATTACACGTCTAAATGAACTTTCCTCTGACCATAGTCCTCTAATCCTTAATGTTTCACTTGAACCCGTTCCCAAACCTTCTCCACCGTCATTTATTAGGGGCCCAGTTAACTGGGACCTTTTCCGCCAAATCATCTCCGATAAAATTGATCTTAACATATCCCTCAAAACTCCCGATGACCTTGATAGTGCCGTAAATTCCTTTACTACCACAATCCAACAAGCCGCCTGGACTGCTTCCTTCCCAAAAGACTCCTCCAGAATTCCTAAAAAGACCATTCTACCCCAACACCTCCTTGACCTAATCCAAACCAAACGCCGTGCCAGATTATTGTGGCAACGTACCCGACATCCTACCGACCGCTGCTCCTATAATTATTACTGCAAAAAATTAAAACTGGAATTAGCCACCTTCAGATCACATTCCTTCAACTCCTACCTATCCTCCCTTTCTTCTCGCGACAATTCCCTTTGGAAAACCACTACCAAAATCTTAAATCCTCACCGCATTTCCCATCCCCTCCGACGAGATGATGGCTCCTGGGCAGCATCTGACGAAGATAAGGCTGAGGAGTTCGCCATTCACCTATCCAATACATTTATTTCACATCCGGAATCCCATCCTGCCCACACCGTAACAGTAGAAGAATTCCTTACATCACCAATCCCACTTTCCTTGCCCCCAAAAGCTATTCATCCTTCCGAAGTGAAATTTCAATTAAAAAAATTAATCCCCCGTAAAGCTCCTGGACATGATCTCCTTACCCCTCAAATCCTTCGACAACTTCCATCCAAAGCAGTCATATTCCTTACATATATCTACAACTGTATCCTACGCACCACCCACTTTCCTCTGCTATGGAAACACTCCACTATTATCCTTTTCCAAAAACCAGGCAAACCTCCCAATATCTCAACATCCTATAGACCAATTAGCCTACTCCCAATCCTTTCAAAAATTTTTGAAAAGATCCTTTTGAAACGAATCCTACCCATTATAGAATCCCAAAATATTCCTTCCCATCAGTTTGGTTTTCGCTCCCAACATTCCACTGTTCAACAAGGACTCCGAGTTGTTGATCATATTTCCTCAGCCCTAGAAAACAAGGAATACTGTTCGGGTGCATTTCTGGACATTGCACAGGCATTTGACCGGGTATGGCACTCCGGACTGCTCTTCAAGCTTAAAATCCATTTACCTCAGTCCTTGTACCTAGTCCTCCGATCCTACCTCTCTGACCGCTCCTTCCGAGTTCGCTGTGGAACAGAATTTTCCAATATCTACTCCGTTAAAGCCGGTGTTCCCCAAGGCAGCGTCTTGGGTCCCGTGCTTTACATCCTCTTTACTGCTGACATCCCTGTTCATCCCGATACTTTTCTTGCAACATTCGCTGACGACACCGCAATCTTATCATCCAACTCTGATCCCAACATAGCATCCTTAAATCTCCAAAACCACCTCACCTTGATTGAGCACTGGTGTAATAACTGGCGCATTAAAGTTAATGAATCTAAATGCCAACATATTACCTTTACACTCCGACGCAGTTCCTGTCCACCAGTACACTTTAATTCCATCCAGCTTCCTTACTCAGACACAGTCCGGTATCTTGGCTTTCATTTAGACCGAAGACTAACGTGGAACCCACATACTAGACTCAAAAGACAAGAACTCAACCGACGATACGGCCAGCTATACAGACTACTAAACAGAAAATCCAAACTTTCTATTGAAAACAAATTACTTATCTACAAGACAATACTGAAACCTATATGGACATACGGACTTGAACTGTGGGGGACAGCAAAAGCTTCTAACATCAAACGTATTCAATCCTTTCAATCTAAAGTCCTTCGAACAATAGTTGATGCTCCGTTCTATGTAAATAACAAAATCCTACACCATGACCTTAATATCCCATTTGTCCTAGACCTTATTCCAGAAAAATTCTCCAAATTTCACCAAAACCTTACCTATCATCCAAATCCCCTTGCACAATCTCTATCCAGCACCACCCATCCTTACAATCCTCCTCGAAGGTTGAAGCGGCAGTGGCCCAGAGACCTTTTGTAAATAAGCATCTATTGGAGTTTTGGCAATGGCCAGATCCTCCACTCAAGCCCGAGTGTGTATGATTAGGTTAGTTCTTTTGTTTATATACATTTATTTTATTTTATTGTATTTATTTTTATTTTATTTTATTGTATTTATTATTATTAAGTTTCTGTATTATTTATTTATTTTTTTTTTTATTGTAAATAGAGTGTGAGTGTGCTTTCTCTGATCACTATTATAAATGTCCTTGATGTGACAGAATGTAATATTTCTAAATAAACAAATAAAAAAAAAAAAAAAAAAAAAGCCTGACGAGAATTTGAAGCAGAAACAGGACGATATTTACTTCTTTTAATATATTGGAAATCAACGACTTCTTAAGGTTACCTTTGACGACCACTTCACTCAAACGCGAAACTACCATGAGTGAAATCCTGTTGCGTCAAATTAGTCACTTAATAAGTTGGTTAAGTTGCATCCTCGAAAACCACGGTTTACAAACGATGAATTTTCCCAACTTTGTCAAGAACTGAGCTATATGTCTATAAATTACTCCAAATTTGAAATGAGCTTTCTAAACAAAAAAAAAAAAAAAAAAAAAAATGCAATAGAAGTTGTAGTAACCTTGTGTTGGAATGATTTCATTTCATGTTTTGTAAATAATTTTTAAAAAGTTACCATTCAAAGAAATTAAACACAAATACTAGATCAATGAATAATATCTTACCTGTTTTGTTTGAAACGAGGCACACGCCACCTTCATCAGAACTATCATCACAATCAGGGTGGTTATTGCAGACTTCTTTCAATTCAATACATTTCATTTGATCACGACACAAGAAACCATTTTCATGAATACTGCATTCTTCTGAGTTCACTGGTTTCTTAGCTGCATTCAAATAATAATATTACTATAACATTGATAGAGAATGGAATACAAAATAAATGATATTAAAAATGATTTTTTTCTAACATGGAGACGTGGGGTAACCGATTTCAATGGAACCTTTTTTGTGTGATGATAATAGGTCGAAAAATATTAGACACGTGTCCGAAAGTTTTAGCACTCAAAGTCTCCTAAGGCCGAAAAAAAATATTTTATATAAATTCCACAATATTTCTTTGTACTCTTCTTTGTGTTACCGGTCCGCATTTGCAGTGGATGGTGATCTAGGATATTACATACGACTCATTTTGGTCTCTAGAGTTGTGTAGCAGACTTTGCAGAACTAATAGGAAGACAACTCAGAATAAAGGAGCAAGAAAAGAGAGACCCAACATAATAAGAAGTTCAGTCTTAACAAGTAAGCACATGACCATTCAAATGTCCGTGACATCACTTCATACTGCCACATCTGCTTTATGGTCACAAACAATTTTTGACACTTCATTATTAAATTATTTTTTTCTCTATCTAATCATAATTTTTGAGATATCGGCCCTCACAAGGGTACCCATCCCCCCCACCACCACGGTCGATGGTGCAAGAACCTATCCGCTCCAGTCCCAAGATATTTTATTGCTTGCCATTTCATAAAAAACAGAACAAGTGAACGTAGAATTACAAAAATCGTAGATCATAAACAATCACAGTTGCTGCGGTTATTATTAACGAATTTTCTTTATTACTTACTCATGATCTATACTTTTTTTTTTTTATATTCGGCCGTAAATATGGATATACTCCTCTAAATTAAATAAATGAAATAAATTTAAAATACTTACTACAGAACAATTCGTCTGAATTATCAGGACAATCCCTTACGCCATCGCATTCCCACTCTTTGGGGATACAAGTCTTGCTGTGGCACAGAAAACCGTCACATGTCCCCTGAAGTAAATAAAAGCAATATATAAGTAACAAAAAGATACAACGAAGACAAATTTACTTGATACAAGAAAAATTTGTCCTAACTGTTGCTTCTTTCCGTTTATTTTATTTTGATAAAAGATAATATGATCTGAAGTACAGAATCTATGTCAATTACAGTTATACAATTTGAACAACGAGTAGTACAATTAAATGAGCTGTTGTATAATTTGTAAAAAGGGGGTTGGTGGTATTAAGCGGGCAGGGGGGTATCTAGTATTACTGAACAGCAAATTGATAAACATGTGTACATAACCTTATTTTTATATATCTTAACAATCAGTTACCTTCAAAACTTCAAATACCTGGTATAAATTTCTTTTCAGGTGCTAATTTCTGAATACTGAGAATCGATATTTTTAATAAGTAGCAGGAGTACAGAGGTATGAATAGCATTTATAAAATATAATGTGCAAGTTTTCATTAGAAAACATAACGGACAATTCCGAAATAATAGTAAAACAAGACTTAGCTGTAGGGCCGTCCCCTGGGCTGGCTGTCCGGTAGGTTCATACGGGTATTTAAATAGCACTAGCGGATCCAGAATTTAATTTTGGGGGAGGGGACTTCAGCCCGAATTTTTTTTTTTCATATACATATAAAAATAATTAATTAGAAAAAAAAGAAAGAAATTAACAACCTATATGAAATGGTGTTTAAGTGGTTCTTGAAGTTCTATTAAATGTAATTACACCAATAAGAATACTTTAAGAGATAGTTTTTAATATTTTTTACTCTAAAACATGGTAATATTTTACCATTTTGGGGGGGCTTCAGCCCGAAAGCCCTCTCCCCCCCCCCCCGTAGATCTACCTGTGTTAAATAGTATGGTTTAAGACGCTTCCAGAATTTAGTCCCACTGTGCGTCGTGAGGGGCCATAATTCTGAAATATACTATTCGTATGTTTTGTGATATGCCGAATATAAAATCAATAATTTGTTAAAAAAAAATTAACAAAAACATTTTAAGCAGTTATTTCCCGGTTCCGCAGAATTGTTCGTAACCAGTGTCCAAGAAATTTTTTTTTTTTCGTTTAATCGAAAATGATTAGTTAAAGAAAGGAAAAAAACAAACATTGAAACTAGATAACTATATATGACTATATGAAATATGAATATATATGAAACTATATATATTGAAACTAGACATTGACTGTAGTCAATATCCTCTAGTAGTTTTCGGGTAGCCCGGGCATCTCAGATGGTTGGAATGATAAAGAATTTGTAGATCGTCTGCATATAAGTGATAGTGGGAGTGACGCATGGAGTCAGGAAGGTCGCTTATATAAATGGATAATCAAAGACTTTTGTGAAGCCAAAAAGGACTATGGTGGAGATTTTCTGTTTGTCTGTGGATGATTGGAGGTCTTGGGTAAATCTTTAACAAGACAGATTGGGTGGAGTATTGGGAACGAAAACCGGATTGTAGAGGATTGAGGAGACGGTTTTGCTCAAGAAAGTTGTTTAACTAAAAGTGAAGTAATCTTTCTAGATTGGATAAATTGGATAAAATGAAAATGAGTCTGAAGTCGGAAGGTAGCGAAGGAGTAGGAACTTTATTCAACGGTCGAACAATGACTTTTTTCCAGGCTTTAGGAAAAATGGAATTTTGGAGGAAAAAATTGAAGATGTGTAGGGGTATAGGAAGTCAGAGTTTCATAGGAATTTTTAGGAATGGTTAGGACCATAGTTATTGGTTTTGGATTTAAGGATAGTGGAGAGTAGGTCAGTTGGAGAGATATCAAGAAAAAAAAAACTTATCTGGTTCAAAGGAGGTTTCAGTGATGGAAAAAGGTAAGAGGTCAGATGAGAATACAGAAGGAGGATGGTTTGCAAAAAAAGAATTTAGTTCGTTCGGCTCTACTGGATAAAATGTACAGGTTTTGGAGCTTATGACACAGAGTTTCCTGAGAATTGTCCATTTGGATATAGGATTAGGTAATTGAGATAGTACATTGTTAAAGTATTGTGCTTTGGCATGACGTAAGGATATTTGTGTGATGTTTCGTAGTTATTTGAATATAGTATAGTGTTGGGGTAGTCGTGTACGTTTGAATCTTCTTCTGGCAGCCTCTCTTCCTCTCATCAACTCTTTAATTTCTGAATTTATCCAAGGAGCAGGAGGACGTCTAAAAGTACGGGTTTTAAGAGGAGCGTGGTGGTTTAGGAAATCAAGAAAGGGATCCCATCATGTCACCGATGGAGGATATTTTCAATGGTTAGAGAATCAAGATCTCTCCAGGAAATTTGTTTGAGAACAAGGGTAGGAATTGTATGAGATTTTGATAAGATCATGGGATGAGAGAAAGAAAACAGAGTTTTGCAAGTAGGATAATAGGTTTTGAGAGGAATCAGTGATAAATAAGTCCAGGTATCAGTGGAGTGGGTATGATGGGTGGGTTGAAAAGGTACAATTAATAGGTCTAGGGAGAAAACAGGTCAATAAAGTATGTTCTGTCCGAAGAGACTGAAAGGAGGTTAGTGTTGAGATCGTCTGCAATAATGTCATTTTTCAACTGAGGAATAGATGTAATGAGGGAAGATTCGAATGTAAGATCAAATCGGACACGAGGAGGCCGGTAAATAGCGATGAAGAATAGGGAGAAGGTTCTAGAGGAAACTTGGACAAATGGAAATTCAATGTGCGGGATGTCGGAAGAAGGAGATTTTAAAAGGATTTTAGCCCTTAAACTATCATGAACGAGCACTAACCTTCTCCGGATCGATATGCTCGGGTGTAGTCGGGTAAGAAAACAGATGGTGAGGGAATATCAGGTTTGAGCTAATTTTCGGATACGACAATAATATGGTAGAAATTGTGGTGAAAATAATCAAGGAATTCGTCATAATGTGCTGGAAGGGATTGGGTGTTGAGTGGCTGGAGATTATTATTATTATATTAGTCATTATAAGATATTAGGCATTAATAAATTAAATAAAAGACAAACAGTAGGATGCGACAGAACGAAGTTAAGATTAGAGGAGAGGGTACATTTTTAAACAGTATATTGTAAAATAAAGAAAATAATAGAATAGAAAGATAAACGTAAATTTTAATTAACAAAGGTAATCAGGAATGACCATAGAAAAAAATAATGTTTAATTTAAAATAAAATAATCTTCTACGTTTCAAAATAATGGTAAAAAAGCGAAATGAACAACTGCATGAGTAAATAAAGTTAGCAAATAAATAGACTTATGTGATCATAAATTAAATAAACAGAGATAAATAAATTTTCACAGTTTCAAAATATTATATTCATGTTTGTTAAGGTGCTTACTAAACAAATTTGTTTCAATTCATACTCAATGTGTTATTTGACTTTTTCGTTTCTCAGCCAAATTTATAATCATTGGATCGGCTGTGATAATAATTTTAAAATCACCTTTAATAGTAAACAATGAAAAACCAAACTATTGCACTTGATAATAACTTATTTCCCGTAATAGCACTGCATTGCAGCTTTTAATTCAAACAAGAAGGTTGAGATGACACATAATGTGCCTTCAATCCCTCAATGACTAAACAGGATAGTGAAAGCAAAAATTTCAACAATATTTGAAATTTTAATGTAATGAAATATTTTTTTGTGAATTATTACCTTAACAATTCATTAATTAACTAGAATATCCATTTACTGATTTGATGGTGAAATTACAATCCATATTTTTTAAAAGGTCGTCATGCAAAAATAAAAATGAAATATAAATACCAATTATTATTTTAACTATATGTTTTGGTCCCGAACTTAAACCATTTGTTATTGACAAGAATTCTTTCTTCAACTTCAACGTTTTTCTTGCTTGCTATGAAATCTGTTAGGCAATCAAGAGTTCCCTAGCTACTGCAGAGGTCTTAAACTAATTACTCCCTTAGTTCAAATGTCAACAACTTAAACAATATATATTTTGAAGCAAAAGAATGCCCGATGGATTCACTATTCATTAAATTTTCACAATTAAACATTAACTACGCGTTACACAAAACAACAATTATCATACATAAACAACTGGATGGAAGGTTATAAATGGGTTAGCCACTAAGCGTAAATAATGATGGAATTCAAAAAGATATCACGGAAAATATAAATACACAATTAATAAAACATAAAATAATGACTTTAACTAAGGATAATCCGAAATATAATAAAACATCAACTCCTGCACTAGTGGTAAACGAACGTCTTACAAGAACATGATGTTCTTGAACGAACTAGTTCAACTGATCTAGCTCACCAAAATGAACACTTTGGAGCGGTTTCATTTATATATATATATATATATATATATATATATATATATATATATATATATATATATATATTTCTTTCTGTTCTTCCCTACCTCGCCTTTTAGGCTATACGGGATTTTCCCGGACCGGAGGGTGAGGGCGGGGAATTTAAAATCCCCTCTGGCACTGAGACGCGAACTCGTACTTTTTTTATTTAATCTAATAACTTCGGTTATCTGGTTGCTGGACAATTCGAGGTGCTGTGCACGCGTTAGACGATTCGGCCACCCCGCTCCGCGGTTTCTATAATCATTTCATATGTAGGTAGTTTTTTCGTATTCTTCCTGAGTCCGAGATCCAGATCCGCTGCTTCCAATCAGTCCACCTCTCGGTCCTAAAGAACTAACTTTTCTTCAATTTACAGTTCTAGGACATGTATCGGTACTTAAGACTAAAGTTTTTCTCATTCTTTCATTAATTCACTACTCTCTTTGAGGCCCAGCATACAAGTCAGTTCAGCTGTCTGTTACCACTTTTTTTTTCTAAAATTCTTCTTATATAATAAAACGAATAATATAGACTAAAAATAAGTATTTCAGTTATTATATTTAATTTTTTTATAAATATTATTTGCACTATAGAATTATTATTATTATAATTTTTGGTTCAAAAATTTATTTTAATGAATTATGGATTAAAAATAACAAATTCGGGCAGTTTTAACATCGTAACTACCCGTATCACGTACTATAAATTGAATCATAAAATGTTCGGAGCTTATACAGACGCAAAAACGGTAGACAACGACCTAAAAATGGTATATCCAAAACCAACAGTAACTTATTTTGCGATTTTTATATATATATATTTTTTAGGAATCTAAATTTCTTTGAATGATAATCGTTATAATACGTGTTTGCATTAGTTATATCTTACAACATTCTGCCCCTCTAAGACAAAAAAACGAATCTTCATTATTTTTTCAATTAATTTATTTTCGTGACGTTTCCCTTGTTCGGTATATTCTTCAGCTCCTTGATTTTATTGCCCAACAAGGAACCCGTATTTTCAACAGGCATGATCTCAGTATCAAAACAATTAAAGCTTTCTTAGATGTGCCATTCAGGCATAAGAAGGCAGTATTATATTTATTAAGTCTACTCCAACACGAGTTGACTTTAACCGAACAGCCAAGCGTATGTCAAGTAAGCTTTTTCCGTTCCAGGCAAAACGAGATACACGTTTTGGAACGAAAACGCCGTACTGCACATGTATCTGAAACTTGGATGTTATTCAAAACTCGTGTTAGAACAGATCAATAATGTTCTGATAAACGCTCACTAACCATGATATCAAGTGGTCATTCGCCCTTATTCTCGGTTAATTAAATAACATTTATAAACACAAAAAAAATTATCAGATATATTCAAGTAAAAAAAAATAATTTCAATATAAACCAATTTTTCAAGCCAAAATAAATCATTCACCTCCACATGTAACTAAAAGAGACTCTGTCAAAACTTTTTCTTACCGCAGTACATCCATGAGTCTCATCGCTGCCATCCAAACAGTCCGCTTCACCGTCGCAGACCCATAACGAAGGAATGCATAGCCTATCTTGGCACTGGTATTCATCCTTATTACATGGTTTCGTTCCTGGGGTCTGCAACAACGAAATAATAAAATCATATTTTAATGGTTTTAGCATAGAGCCATTGGCGTATCTAGGTAGGGAGGGCGGAGAGAATAGGTATACGGATCTCCACAAAACATACCTTTTTTATTTGTTATATTTTTTCTTTTGTTAATTACAATATAACTTGCAAAAATATTAAATATACTTATCTTTCCTTCAGAATATTTTTTAATTCTTAGTAATCTATAAAACATCAATTATAAAATCCTACTACTTCATATTATAAACCCAGTGCCCTAGGTTCGATAATAATCTCTCCCCCCCCTACCAACATCCCTCCATGCAAGGATAATAAATACTACTTTTTGTAATAGGGGAGTAAATAAAACTTATCCTCCTTGCACCCTGTCTGATTATTCTGCTTCTCCCTAACGAAGGTAAATAATATTTACTATTTACTCATTTCACCTAATAAATTGTCCTTAAATTTATAAGTGATCATTTTCACCTTCACAGCCTTTACCTCTGAAGGTAAAATATAAGAAATGTAAAATATTTTTCCTATTACAACAATATATATATATATATATATATATATATATATATATATATATATATATATATATATATATATATATATATATATATTATTCGAAACGATAAGCGAAGCGGCCTAGTATGAATGATGTCTACTATGAAGTATATCAATATGTAAGCCTCGAAAAAACGATTACATTGTTATTATTTGAAATTATATAGGCTTCGTTATATCCACTGTAAATTATAAAACAGCTTATTTGGCAATGAATCCTACAAGATACATGCTCCATATCTCATCAAAATATATGCCAACATTTTTAAAACTTCAAATCTTCAAAAAGAACATTAACAAAAAAATCTTTCATATTAATTAGATCCTTGCAAAATTAAGTGGTTAAAAAAAGTTTGATGATATACATAGTAGATTACGAAGAAAAACTAGACATCCGTTCATTGTTTTTTGTGCTTAGGATTATGTACTGTTTAGGTCTATTTCTTTTTTATTACTAATCACTTTTTTTTTTTTATTTATTTATTTATTTTTTATATACGTTACAACATGTCATACTGATAAGTTACATGTTTATGGTCACACATGACATAATATTGGTTTGAATACTACTTAGAAAATTGAAATTCATTTTTTACAGTAGGAAAAATAGGTCTATTTCTTATTTTTGATGAAACCCTGTTATTTTTTAAAGACTTGCGAATCTACATCGATATCTTACGGAAACATAAATCAAGCCACTATCTCGTCAATACACTCATTGTCTCTGTTGAATTCATCTGTCTACATTTCTTTTTTTATCGCTAGAATAAAAACTGGATAATTTACTTCAAAGCAATTCCTACAGTGTAATCCGTACTGAATGAACGTAGGATTGGCGATCTAGTCTTTTTATCGTTTGTTGTTATTCATCAATAACAATATAAGGGGAAACTTTTTTTTACTTTTGCATTCACATCAATAGGTATTAGGTATCAATCAATCACATGTTTAATAATTTTAAAATAAAATCCTAGTTTAGTTGGGTTTAGCAACGAAAGAATTCCTGTAACGTTAATATGCGTTGGGCTGATTAGGTGGACTGAAGTGAAGTTAGGAGGATTGCTTTAATAGTCCAGTAAAATTAGGGATTGACCCCCAACATTGAAATAATAAAGATGAACCTTGTCAGAAACTGTTTATTACCCTCCTTATCAAAACTGGTAAAAAGACCCAGAGTCCCGGGACGAGTTTTGATGGGGGGAGGGGAGGACAGAAAAATGATATTTTTTTTAGTTTTTTAAAAATATCTCAAAAATTATGAGATTTTTCGTAAAGATTGCTCTGCATAATATCACAGTACTTTAAAATCTATATAAAACTGATCCTATATATTGTTTTGATAAGTCAATGATTGCGGAGATATATATGAGATTATATTTATTGTGTTTCCACTTTAAGCAGAAAAATGCTTCAAAGCATATAATTGACGTAGTTAAAGTTTAGATTGACATTAATTTCATATAATTGATAATAAGTGATGGAAGACATTAAAACTTATAAAAATTTACCATTAACCATGGTCTGATTACATACAAGGAACCAGAAAAAATAAATACTGTAATTTTTAAGCCAATCACGTTTTATGTTGAATAAAAAGAAATAACTAAAAAAATATTCAATTACGGCTACAGAAAATTACTTCATAGTAAACAAGATTTAATTTAAAATAGGCTCAAGTAAATCTTGTCCATTTTAAAACTTTTAAGCAGTTAAACTGCGGTAAGTTTGGTTTTTCATAAAATCAAGGATTCTTCGTGATTTTTTTATAAACCCTCAACTGAACTGAAAATACCACACTTTTAGAAAAACTTCCTTGTTTAATGATCTTTAAGTCTATATTAATTAAGTTTAGTTTACATTTTATATAATTATGTAAAAATGTTATTATTATGGTCAAATTAGTTATTATGATGTAAACATCTTTTTACACATTTAGGGATGAATCTTAACTTACTCTGTACCTACCCACAACATTATTAATATAGACTTTCCACAATCATTACCTAATCCGACTTGACCTACTTTCCTCAGATCATTGTCCATTACTCCAATTATCTAGTTATACTATCTCCTATTCCTAAACCGTCTCCACCGTCCTTCATCAGAGGCCCAGTTAACTGGAAACTCTTTCATTAAACCATTTCCGATAAAATTGACCTCAGAATAACCTTGAAAACTCCAAAAGACCTTGACAATGCCGTTCATTCCTTCACTACCACCATTCAACAATCAGTATGGACAGCTTCCTCTCCAACTCATTCCTCAAGAACTCCTAAGAAAAATAGTTTACCCCAACACCTCCTAGACCTAATCCACACTAAACGCCGTGCCAGATTATTATGGCAACGTACCAAATACCCCATCGATCACCGCTCCTACAATCATTGTTGTAAAGTATTAAAGCAAGAATTATCAACATACAGCTCCCAATCCTTTGATACCTACCTTACTTCTCCCTCTGTTTACGACAATTCCCTCTGGAAATCCACCAAAAAAAAAAATCCTAAAATCCCATTACATTTCCCAACCCCTTCGTCGATGCGATGACTCTTGGGCAGCGTCTGATGAAGACAAAGCTGATGAATTCGCCAGACACCTCTCCAGTACATTCATTTCTCATCCAGAATCCCATCCAACCCATACTAGTAGAATACCCCCATAAAAGTAGAATTCCTCTCTTCACCGATTCCTTACCACCTATAGCAGCTAATGCATCTGAGGTCAAACACCACTTACAAAAACTTCCTCTCCGTAAATCTCCTGGATGCAACCTTCTAACCCACAGATCCTTCGACACCTTCCACCTAAAGCTATCATATTCCTTACAAGTATTTATGATTGCATCTTAAGAACTACCCACTTTCCTATCCTATGGAAACATTCCACCATCGTCCTTTTCCTGAAACCATACAAATCTGCCAACAATACATCATCCTATAGACCAATTAGCCTACTCCCAATCCTATCAAAAAATTTTGAAAAGATCCAACTGAAAAGAATCCTACCGATAATAGAATCTCATAAAATTCCTACCCATCAATTCGGATTTCGTTCCCAACATTCCACTGTCCAACAAGGACTCCGACTTGTCGACCATATATCCTCAGCCCTAGAAAAGAAGCAATATTGTTCGGGTGCATTTCTGGACATAGCACAGGCTTTAGGCCGGGTATGGCACGCTGGACTGTTTTTCAAGCTTAACTTCCATCTACCACAGTCCTTATATCTAATACTCCGTTCCTACCTCTCTGACCGCTCCTTTCAAGTTCGCTGTGGTACTGAATTATCCGACTGTCATTTAATTGAGGCAGGAGTTCCGCAGGTCAGCGTCTTGGGTCCCATCCTTTACATTCTTTTCACCGCAGATATTCCTGCCCATCCTGATACCTTCCTGGCAACTTTCGCTGATGATACTGCTATCCTTTCAACCAACTCAGATCCTAAAACGGCGTCATTAAACTTACAAATGCACCTTTCCCTGATTGAACACTGGTATAAGAAATGGCGCATTAAAATTAAGGACTAGAGCTGTGAAGAGCAGCAAAATTTTCTAACATCAAACGCATCCAATCCTTCCAGTCAAAAGTCCTTCGAACAGTAGTCGATGCTCCTTTCTATGTAACCAACAAAACCCTACACCATCACCTCAACATCCCGTTTTTCCTAGGCCTTATCCCAGAGAAATTCTCCAAATTTCACCAGAACCTTACGTATCATCCAAATCCCTCTTGCTAAATCCCCATCAAGCACCTCCCATCTCTATAATCCTTCAAGAAGGTTGAAACAGCAGTGGCCTCGCGACCTTTTGTAGATTCTATATATTGGAGTTCTGGCAAGGGCCAGATTCTCCTTTCAAGATATGAGTGTATGTGGCTAAAGTGCTCTCGATCAATCTCCTCTGGCTTTAGTACCAGTGATGCGGTTGAGAGAGTAGCGGAGGGTTCTCCTGGAGTCCAGCTTTTTCCTCCATAGTTGGAGGGACAATCCTTCCTTGGAGTTCTCTCGCCTGATTGTAAATAGTGTATATAGGTATGCATGTGTTTTTTGTTTAGTTTTAATTTTCTTATTTTTAGGTTATTTTATTTTATTTATTGTGTATACTTTTTGATTATTATTTATTGTTATTTTTCTTCTATTTATTTTATATTTTTTGTACATATAGTGTGAATGTTATCCTACCTCACTATAACTAATATCCAAGTGACAGATTGTTGTAATACTCAATAAATTAATAAAAAAAAAGAATATAGATAGATTTAAAAGTCATCAAACAAGGAAGTGTGGTATCTTCAGTCCGGTTTGGAGGTTATAAAAAAATCGCGAAGTATCCTTGATTTTATGAAAAACCGAATTTACCGTAGTTTGAATGCTCAAAAGTCTTCTTTAAATTGTTGTAAAATAGACATGGTTTACTTATATTTAATGTTGATTTAGTTTAGTTTACTATGAGGTAATTGGTTGTAACCTAAACTAACATTTTTTTTTTTGTTTTTGCTTTTTATTCAACATAATACGTGGTTGGTTTAAAAACTACAAAATTTAAGTTCTCTAGTTCTCTGTGTGTAATCAGACCATGGTTTCTGGTAAATTTTTATAAGTTTTAATGTCTTCTCTAACATCAATTATATGAAATTAATGTTAATCTAAAATTCATATCTTTATCACGAAATTTCCCATTGATTGATAGCGATATAATTCTGTTGTCAATGGCTTTTTAGAATCATCAAAAGAAAGAAACTTTGAATAAAAATTTAATGGATCGAAAATGTTAAATAATTAATAAAACTTCAAAAAGGTATAGTCTACTATGAACAATATCAATTTTTTTGGTTTGAAGCAATTTTTGCTTTCAGTGAAAATACAATAAATATAATCTCATAAATATCTCCGTAACCATTGATTTTATAAAAAAAAATGTATAGGATCATTTTTATAGAGATTTTAAAGTACTTTAATATTATACATAATACTCTTTGCGAAACACGTCACAATTGTTGAGATATTCCAAAAAGAACTTTTAGAACCATTCTCTTAAATAAGGAGTGGTGGAAAAAATTGTCCAGCGTGGTAAAACTATACTTATACGAAAAAACGTGTTATAAAAAACGGAAGAGAAGGGCCTAGACAATCTTAATGCAAGCCTTAAGTAATGTCGGAATACGCCAAAGACCCTTTCCAATTCGGTCACTGGTCGGCCTAATAGTAACGTTCCCAGAAAAATCTTCAAATAAATCTGATGTGATTTATTTTGGGTCGGCGATTTTAACATAGGGAAAAGGATTTAGTTCAATTTGAAATGACTCATTTTTTTAAGAAAAGATTTAATTTCCTTCTAAAATTCCTGAAAAATTAATATTCTGTAATGTTAAGTATATCTTGGATGTGTATTATATGAAATAGAGTATGTTTATCTAAAAAAATAATCTGAATAATCGGACAACGAATAACGTCTGAATCGGTCATAATTGATTTATATAAATATTAATTACATTATAATACTTTAATAGACAATTAATTCCATCCATAACGATAAGGACAATTTTAATGTAATTTATTAAATGCAGTAACTGTTTTGAAATTCCATCGCTACCAACAACTTAAAATTTATACTTCAAGGACTTTTTTATTTATAAAGATGAGTAACATCTTCGAATAAATATATTATAAAATATTTAAATATGATAAAATTTAATTTATAAGCATAATTTAGACAGAATAAATAAAACAAAGTTTAAAGTTGATTTGAAATGTTATTAATACATACAGTGGTCATATGACAATTCTCTTCATCCGACATGTCCCCATGGCCGCAATCTTCATATCCATCGCAAATGAAGCTCATAGATATACATCTGCCTGAGCGACATCTGAAGAAATTATCATCGCATTCTGGTAATGATAAAATTAATTTAAATTACTGATTGGGATAAGCATATTAAATAATTCTTATAATATCATTATGTTTCGTATTTATCTATATACATATTATGTATTGCATTTAAATTCGTTTCTAAAAGCCCTCAAGAATAATTTTGTTTAAAACTAAAAAAAAAATATTACAAGTACTCTTTATTTATTAAAATATAATCAAATTCGACTAGCGATTGTTGTAACATGATTCAAATATCGTATAAATTTTCATATTTTATATGCCTATTTTTACTTCTTTATCAACCGCGGTCAACCACTTCCTTATCTTAAGTGCAATGTATCTTGCTGAAGTAGGCTGTTTTTTTTTCCAGTCAAAGCCTTGTACCAAAATATTATCTTTTATCAACAGCATAGAATGGATTAAGGTGTCACTTTACGTATTAGGTTACTTACTTCTATAATACAAAAAGTATAATATGACATGGAAAAACAATATAGTAATTATAATATATAGAAATTGGTTTCGTTTATAGTCAAATATTGATTGATAGCATACATAATACGAAGCTGTAATGTTTATTAATAAAATAAAATTTACGGTAACATTACAATTAAATTAAAGAAATTTCTTATGCTCAAACTTATTAAGAATCAACTAAAATTTTAGAATAACAAAAAAATATACGGTATTGTTTCTTTATATTTACATCATTGGAGGAAAATTTAATAATCATTAGATTGGAAATTCAACCCCTGGAAGAAAAATACACAATAAAAATAAATAAAGTTTTATAAATACCTGTCTCATGTTGTTCGCTAGAAGTGACCAGAATGATTAGTGTTGTGACAAACAATAAATTAAACTCGTTCCAGAATTTTAATCTGAAATGTTAAAAGCGGATTAATCGTAAACCATTAATTAGACAAATACTGTAGATAAAAATATTTTCAAATATATATATATTGTGTATATAGTTGTTTCATTGTTGACATTTTAAATTTGTATCAGGTCTCTAAATAGTTATTGAAATTTATGAAAAAGTTTCAGTTTAACTGATTTAAATTAACTTTTACAGTTAAAGTTTTAACGTAAACTTTCAAAAATTACTCGAACTTGTAACAGGAGAAATTATTGATAAACATTCTGCTAATATGTGTTCTCTTCAAAATTGTTTTATAAACGTTTTAATGAAAGGCAATAGCGCATCCAGTATTTAATATTGGAGAGGGCTTGCATTTTTTGTTTTTAAATATACGTAACGGTAATTGCTCTGGAAGAAATTGAATGAAATTATGTTTAAGTGGTCTTTAGGGGTCTGTCAAAAAATAACATATTACAGCAATAATAATCTTATTAGATAGAATTTAAAAAGAGTTTTTGTAACTGTTTAAGTATTTAGCTGAAATAATTATGAGTAACAAATATAATTGTATGAAAAAAAAATTGTTTTTTAATTTTGACGGATACTTTTACTAATGAACCAAGAACAGCTGAAATTTTCAATTCAGAATCTGCACTGAAGAGCTTTAAAAAAAAAAGTGGTGCGGTGCGTGCATCACACAACTTTCACTTACCACCCTCTTAGCAGTAATGGCTATTTTCAGACATGCTCAAGTAAAAATTATAGACTATATTTATTTATATTTCATTGAGGGTATTTTTATGTGTATAAGTACACTCATATCTACAAATTTTAATATCTATATGGCTGTAATATATACAATTAAATATTAGATAATACCAACAATAGCATTTATGAAAACATCATATGTATATTTATAGAATATTGTTGGAGTCCGTATTATATTAATCTCATGATACGAATGGAAGCGTGTTCTAGTCTTTGGGGCGAGCTTGGGTGCGCTCGTATTCCTTTGGTTCCTCAATTACAACTATTCTCCGCTACGATCTCATATTTCTCCTTTAGTTATATATAAAATGCTTTCATATCTTATACTTAACCATTTTTCATATTTGAAACTAATATGAAATGGTCAATTGTTTCAAATAAAAAAAATCAAAGGTACTTTAGAGGAAGCTAATATTGAAAATTAGTCATTTAAGCCCTGTTAGAGAATATCAATCAGAATAATAACCATATTTTATTTAAAACTGCTTAATTTTACACTGATATGATGGATTTAATCAAAATCGTTAGAGCAGTTTTCGAGATAATAGTAAAAATGTGTTTAGTGCATTACATAAAGTGCCAGTTCTGGTAAGCCGATTTTGACGAAAACGTTACTGTAACATCAATAGCATATAAAAACCTTAAATATGCAATTTCACTTCCGTACGATTTTTCGTTTTTGACCTAGACAGCTTGACCTAGACACACACACCCACACACACACACGCGCGCGCGCGCGCGCAAACGCACACTCACAAGCACACGCACACGCACACACAAACACGCACACACAAACACACACACACACACACACAAACACAAACACACTTACACACACACCTTTTTGCGGGACTTGGTTATTTGGTCTTAGGAAACCTTAAAACGTTTATTTCTGTTGAAAACTAAGATTAAAAAATGTTCACGATCGCAATACTTACCCTTACTATATATAAGTAAATGAAAGTAAAAAATAAGCTTAAGTGTCAGAAAATGTTTGAACAGGGGTTGAAACTTTATTGATTTAAAAAAAAAAAAGTTTTGAACTATTTTGAAATAAAAGTTTTACTATATAAGTTCCTACTTTTTTTTGCAATGAAGTTCTAGATTTATCATAAACGTATGACTTTTATTTATTTAGGTACTTAAAAAAAGTTTTGTTAAAAGTTGAGGGAAAAAAATTGTATTTAAAGAATTATGAAAATAGGTAAAAACAGTCCCTTTGTTTGAGTAACTAAAAATTCCGTTTATAATAACCATCTTTTAGATTCAATTGTTAGAAAAATGAATCGCTCAAACGGAACTACTAAATTAAAGTTTTTAAAATAAAGATTTTATAAAAACTTATATCGAAAAATATGCTTGGAAGAAATTAAAGTACCAAAAGAACCGAAAAACTATCGACAGTAAACCTTTCAGTAATAATGGAAGTTATTAAAAATTAAAGTTTTTTTTTCCGTCCGAAGTCCTGCTTGTGAATAAATGATGTCAAAAGAAAAAATCTAAAAATCCGATACTTCACAGTCAAGCAGTTATGCACAAGTATTTCTTACATTTAAGTGAGAACTTTTATAATGAGAACTTTTATACTATAAAAGAATTTTAAATTAAATCTTCCAAGAAAAATTACTATTAAACCTATGATCTAAACGTTCTAATAAGAATTTTGTAATAAAAGAGCTTTTGTTTTAATAAAACTTTTTTTTTCAACATTTAAATACGTATTTAATTCGAAAAAATTTGATTTAAAATTTTTATTTGAATCGAATCCATTCTTTGATTCAGCAATATATTGAATTATTATTATATCTATTAATTTGTTCAATTTATATTTTAGTTTATTTGTTGTTTTACAATTAATATTATTTTTGTAGACGTTTCATGAAAATATTGTTGTTTACGCAATTTTATCGATCATTTGATCTTGACGTTATGTTTATTGTGTACAATCAATGTGTTCTCAGTTGAAAAAGAGGATTAAAAAAAAACACTTAAATCATGGCAAAGGGTACAATTTCGAAATCGACTTATAACTATTTGATGTAAACACTAATCGTATTGAAAAAATTATTTATTTCTGAAACATCCAAACAAATTAATCAACCGATAGTAATCGATTAATCGATAACTACTAAGAATCTTTAATTTTCAACTAACTGTATTTTTTTTAACACGGTGGCTATATAAAGGTATTCAAAACAGTTTTCCATTTAAAAAATAAATAATAAAATAAAAACAAAAATTAATATTATTATCAATCTATTAATAATATTATTAATTATTATAATAATTATTCATATTATTATGCAGAGGTCATTGATATGTTATGCTATTGATAATTTAAAAAAAAAAAATTTTATTTCTGATTTTGGTAAAACGTTGCTAGGCCAGAATTAAATTTTGACTTGTGTGAGATACTTAAAACTTGTAGCTAAGGAATGACTAATAAAAATTAACGAAGCAACATAGTTATTTGTTCATATTTTCTATGTTTCAAAATTTCAATAATCCAAAAGAACGACAGTTCATCATTAAATCATCAAAGTACAGTAAAAATAATTTATATCATGAAATAGTAATTAAATTGACAAAATTAAAAAATCTAATAAATAACAACAACGTAAACATGCATTAAGAGAATAAATAATACAGTTAAAATTAAAAAATATGTTTGTGGAAAGCACAAATCAAACAATGATAGTATATACAGTATAAGAGTATCGAACTTGAATAGTAAAATATTATTTAAAAAAAATTATCCATTATCTGTTAGTTTTGTTTAATTAAATAACTTCAGTAGAAATAAATTTATATATTTTTTTAAATTTTACAAATAAGTTATAAATTTCCAATAAAAGTATAAATATTCAATCACGGAAGAAATAAAATTTCCTGTTAAAAGAGATCATTTGAATTTTTAAGCATATTGTTCGAAAGATAAAGGATGGGTTGAGATAACTCGGAATATCCGTTTGACAAGACATAATATTGTCGTTGACAGTAAGATAAAAACCATAAATCAAAACAATTCAAGTTCGTTCCTAATATTTTTTAAAATAAAGTTTTACAGTATTTGTTTTCTTTAAAGTAAGCTCAACAATCCTTCATTCGACTAAAAATAATTTAGTTTACTTAAAACCAGACTATTCGTTACAAAATAAATTTGTTATCTGTACAAATTTCCATTCGATTGATTATATACGCCATAACCTAACAGATTATATATATTTTATAACGCTGCCGAGTAAAGAACATCGATTAAGTTGGTTTCTTCATGGTAAAAAAAAAATTAGTAACGCACTAAATATTGTAAAACAGACTTAATTTTTTCAATGTTTTAGATCACTAATTGAAACATCTGTTGGGCTCGATTTGTGCAATTATAAAACGAAATTATTGGTTGATATTATACAAATATGGGCAACAGAAACAAAGGCGGATCCAAACGTAATTTTTGGTGTGAGAAATTCTGAATTTTGGGAGAAATATTATCTTATCTTTGGGAGAAATTATAACAAATTGGTTTAATGACTATTTTATACCCGAACCTATTTAAAATAGATTTTCGTAAGCATAGATCAAATCATTCATTAATTTCATTGATAGATGTAAATAGGTTGATTTGATTGATAGATTTCTCAGAAGGTATCATTTTTTTAGTTTTCCTCTAGCTATTGAATGATAATAAATATCCAGTTATTCCCAAGTATAGGTACTTGTAGATTTATTTTAAACATCTGTATTCCTTCTCCTAATAATTATTTTGTGAGGGGAAATTTCCCCCTTCCATAGAACCTACACTGGATGAAGCTAATTTGTATTGTAATAGATATCGCTCGTTCTTGAATTATATTATATGACAAGTAGAATATGAAGTAAAATATGGAATTAGTCATTACATCCAACAAAACTTAAAAAAGTTTTTCAGTCTCCAAGGTATTTTATTTTTTTCGATAGCTAAACATCTCATGCGTTCCCCCACATAAGTATCGTTATAGACTTCATCGGAATTTAATCTCAAATGGATTTTAAATGACCATGTTTAATAGACATATTCACAAATAAATCCCCAATCCCGTGGAAATTTAGTGTTGTAACATGTATTAAAGCATTGAAATCTTGTTCAATCATACTGTATTTATTTGCACTAGGGGTTCCCATCTCCAACCCCCAAGGTTGTTTATTGATTACCGCAACAACAATAATAATGCGAAAACAAATGTGTGGGCACACTAGTGGATCCAGGGAAAGTGTGGAAGGGCGCGCACACCTTTCTCTCTCTCCCCCCCCCCCACCCCCAGAAATGTGAGAAAAAATTGAATCTTAAAAAATTAACTACACAAACGGCAGTTTTATTATTATTATTTAAATTAAAATGTGAATTGTATTAAACAATTTATTTTTTATTATGCTTTGTACCCAAAAATAACTAATATTTGTTTGAAGACTGTAGCTGAAGGTTGTTGCTAGCATGCTTTGATACCTTGTGATACTATTTTTATTTGAATTCGTAGGAAAAAGATATGCAAAAATGTCGTGTTTTAGGTTCATAGATATCAATTATCCAGTAAAAGAATTTCGACCGCCATTTAGGGTAAAATACAAAATGAAATGAAAATAACTAAAATACACATTTCTTTTCTTATATATATATATATATATATATATATATATATATATATATATATATATATATATATATATATATGAACTGTTGCAAAGCTTTTATTTCTTGTTTTTCCATGATCTAGGATGTATTATGAAAAACCCAATTGCCTAAAAACACATTTTATTTATATAAAAAAAAAAAAATTGAAAAATGCTGATTTTTCGAATATTTTCAGGGTAAATTGGTTGTAAACTTATAAGTGATAAACTAGAACTTACTAGTCCTAAAATTTACGTTTTAAATAAATAAAAAAAAAAACCTGCTGGTAGCTTCAATTATTTTAATGAAAACGTAAATATTAGGATCAAGAACATTTATTTTGTCATATATAAATACTGATCAATTCCTATAATAGAGATATGCGCCAAAAACTCAGTTTACAACCAATTTACCCGGAAAATATTCGAAAAATCAGTATTTTTCAAATTATTTTTTTAATATATAAAATGTGTTTTTAGGCAATTGGGTTTTTCATAATACATCTCAGAACATGGAAAAACACAATAAATAAAATAAAAGCTTTGCAACAGTTAATTGTTGTCATTTTTGTTGAAAACAGGGGTACTTTTACTTGACAGGATAAAAAATATCATCATTTTTTTACACAACTTAAGCTCAGTCTCTAATTTTTTTCTTATAAATCTCAACTTAATTAATACGGATTTAAAGCTTATCAAACGAAGAAGTTTTTGCAAAATAATTTATGATCTGTCTAAAACCAACTTAGCTTAGTTTAGCCGCTCAAAAGTCATCTTTAAATGGTTTTAACAATAATAAACTCTATTTTCGTTACAAATAAATTTTGTCTAGTTTACAATGAAGTAATTATTAATTACGTAAATTAAATATTTATTTAGTTATTGCTTTCGATTTAACAAAAAACCCGACACACTTAAAAAACCCACAAAAGTTGGATTTGCTAATTTTATGCTGAAAATTGGCCTATTGTTTATATGAACTTTTTTGTAGCTCTTGAGGTCTGCTATCACTCTTATAAAAATGTCCCTCTTATTACGGTTCGCAAGTGCGCCCTCATCCCCTCAGAAAATTCTTGGATCCGCCAGTGATGTGGTGCATGCCCTTTCCCTTTCCAAAGTTTTTCTTGTACAATTAGATTCGTGTTTTTTTGATACAATCAGAACAATTGTAGATCATTAATTACACTTGTTTTTTTGTTCATGTTTCCTGGTTAGTTCCTCCAAAAAAAAATTACAAAAACGACTAGACAAATGAAAACTCGGGTTGAAGTTTTATAATCACGTTAACTATCTAATTTTTTTTTAACTTTATTCAGAAGTGGTCAAATCGTCTTGAGATTAATCTCATTTGATTAGACGTTTAAAAAAAAGTTATCCCACATGATATAAAGTATATTGAGATTCATATCGATAATAATTAAGATCTATCATATGTGTGTAAATAAATGATCATTTTTTTTTTTAAATAAATAAACAAATAAAAAAAATGTTTGACCGCAATTGGTCAAACCGTTATGGGATAAGTTTAATTAGATTAAGTGCTAACAAACCAGGAAATTGTTAAAAAATGGCTTTGTTAAATTATGTCTATAGTTTCCTAAGTATTTTTGTCGAATGTTTCTAGATATTAATAATTAAAAGAATAATTAGGCCAGCGAAATGTTAAGATTTATCTGAATTTAGGTAAAATAAAATTTATTTATATATTTATTTCTAATATTCTGTAAAAATTTAAAATAAAATTTGTTAATGTGATCATGACCGGTTTTTAAATATTCCTCCAAGAAATTAAATCTTTTCATGGTCCTTATGTGATTTTTGTTAATAATACGAATACAGATGTAGGAATAAACGGGCAAAGGTTAAACTTCGCAACTGCGGTCATATTTAAAATAGACTATATCTAATTGAAAAATTTAAAATCACCCAATTCTACTCACGTTTCAAATATTTTTATAATTTGATAATAAATGGTACTTTATGAGCATATTCTCATCTTAAATTTAATGGAACTTTGACGCAACAGTTAAGTCATGAATAGTTAAAAACCTGCATTTGAACTTTTTCAAACAGTGTCTTGCCGAAAATTGGTTAGAAATTGTTTGATAAAGCATTATATTGAGTTATATTAACATTCATATATTGAGTTAATAAATCATCTCAAGAAAATCTTACGTCATTGTTTCTAAAAAGGGGTATTGTACAGATATATAAAAATATATATATTATAACTAAAGGATATAATAATTTAAAAGAAATCGTAATAATATAACAATAATTTTTGTGTGCTGGATTAAACAAATTAGTGTATTTATAAAGCAATAAAATTATTATTAATAAAAATAACTCATAAACGCAATGAGTAAGTAACAAAAAAAAAAAAAAAGGAATAAAAAAAATGAATGAATATTAACGAGTTAATGATTTGTCTAATATTACTCAATTTTCAATTAATATTATGTATCCGACGAAAATTACTTTCAACTGCCATGTAATGATTTTTTTTTCTTCGTGTATGATCAATGTATTTTTAATAAGATAATATTTAATAGTAAATAAAATCCATTAATTAAAGTAAATATGTTTACACAAAGGAATAAATATATAGATTAATACAAATCCTAATATTAAAAAGGATAAAATATATCCTAAGTAATTCTGACGAAACTAAATAAATAAATTTATGAATATGCTTACATTAGTTAGTATTAATTAAGTGTTGCACAATTTATACGGAGGCAGTTTAAAGGAATTTAACCGTACCAAATGAAAAAGCTTGGTAATTGTTTCTTAAAATAATAATTATATTTAAATAAATAATATATTCGTATGGTTATTGTTACTGACCGGTATCGTGGGAAGAGCATAGTTCGAAGCTAACTGGAAGCCTTTGGAAACTGAAATGGGAGCTGTAGCTCTTAGGTACAGAGGTTCAGCTGATAAAACTTATTTTTGTTACATTAGATCTTGGCTACTTGTAAACATGGATTCATCGCAAATGTAAGGATTTATTTAAGAAATTATTATTACTTTCAAATAGAGACCGTAGTAGCAACTGTCAAAATCACTAATTTATGTTGGTTTCCAATTTCAAGGTATTGAATTTAACCAAATAAAAAAATAATCCAATTAAGATAAAAATATGAAATTTCAGATTACTAATAAATTTTATAAACCCAGAAGCATAGCGAGCATTAAGCATAAGGTCGAATATATTACCTCCCAATTCAGAAGAGTTTTTTTACACCAAAAAACTAAATATTTATTACCGGATATAAATGTAAATTATGAAGCTAGAAAAAAAAACAACATAAAAAAAAATAATTTATATTAGACTGTTTAGGTTAATTTATTAAAATTTAAGAGTAAAACCTGAATTTAACTTTAGAGCTCTTAATTTTTCAACATTTAAAAACTAGAAAAACCTCAAGTAATTTATTATTATTTTAGGTATTAAACAAGCTGCAAGCTTGGTCAAATAGACTAGATGTCTTGAATAGACTAGAATGGTAAATGGAAGTCTTAATTGCGATTATAAACGAAAAGACCACTACATAATAACATATGTATTACGTTTAACAACTATTTATGTTTATAATAACGAGTTTATTTATTTTTTACTTTTTAATTACACGATAATTCAAATTATTTACAATTTCATTATTTTTATAATTGAGGTCTGCCGAAGCCCCAAGGCATCGCCAAGGTTCTCTTAATGTTATTTGCATCTTTACCACAGGCGGATCTGCGGAGGAGGGGGAGTTTTTCGGGCAGAAGTTCCTCCGCCTCCTCCCTCCCCAAAATAGTACAATATAGCCAAGTCATACGAAAAAAATATTAAAAAATTATATATCTCTAAAATTATTATTGTTCGTGTAACTACATTTAATATGAATTCAAGAATCACTTGGACACTATTTCATAAAGGAATGGTAAAAGCACCAGTAGCTGACATCCTCCTCGAAAAATGGGAATAATAAGGTTTCAGGACCTCCCAGAACTCTATTTCATACATTTTTTATTTCTACATTTCCTCTTGTTATATTTGCCTACTCTGCTTTATTCATTCCGGAAACCATAACCGAAATAATGAGTGGTACACGGTGGGCCAGACCCCCTTACCATGCACTCCCCTAAGTATCTAAGTATCATAATATTTTTAAGCCCTCCAGCGAGATGTGATTGTTCCTGGTAGGTTTTGATGAAGACAAAGCCGAGGAATTTGCCGAATACCTTTCCTGTCCACTAATCCTTCATCCATAACCCCACCCACACCATAACTGTAGAAAGTTTCTTCACCCATCTCATTCTCCTTTCCCACTAAAGGAGTTTTTCTATCTGAGGTCAAACATCATTTACAATAATTATCTCTCCGCAAATCTCCTGGAAACGACCTGTTTACCTCTAAGATCCTTCGACAACTTCCTACCAACTCTGTCATATTTTCCTCACATCCATAATTGTAGGACTGGTTCAAATATTTTAAAAAGTAATCATTGTTTTTGAAAGAGAAATATTTTCTCCAGACGTTTTATTTCAGCACGTTTTGCGTTATTGTTGGCCGTTCAATTAAAAACAACGCTTGATTTTCAACTTGAAGTTTTTTTGTTAAAAAAATTGAATTTACTGGTGTGTTTTATGGTCTAAGCCAGTAATTTTTTGATGTTTTTTTACTCTTTAACATCGAGCTTATTATTATTAATTCTATTAAGAAGACCAACTATGATGAAGTTATTTGGCTTAACTTCGTCATAGTTGATTCTCAGTGACCAAATACTAACTTTTTTTTTCTTTTTTCTTTGAAAATTAATACATTCTGCCGCATTGGAGGGCATTAATATTAGGGCTACATTAAACATTCACACAATATATACATACGAATGATAACTAAAATAGAGATAAAAGAAAAAGAGTTTAACATACATAGGTAAAAACAAATAATAAAAAAATAGAGAAAAGCTAGATGGAATTGAAATATATAAAACACATTCACACCTATATACAATAAAAATACTAACTAAAGTAAAAGTCGTCAGTCCGCCATTTTGGGGAAGTGCGTTCACTTTTTTTTGTGGGAACATTTGCTTTTTTTTCAATAAATAGTTACAAGGAACACAACGATATAGAATTTATAGGGATGTTGGGAAAGGGGCACGGTAGGGGCGATTGGCCCACAGACTATAAGACGATGAAATTTAAGCTAGTCCAGACAACTGAATTTCCGTTCTTGTTTTTCTTTCTTCCCTGATTGTCAGTTGAGCTAATAATCTATGCACTTAAAATCCATCGTTTTGCCATGATTTTTGTTCAATTTAAGATTTATCGTTGTGAAATGTTTAACTTTGGCGAAGCTAACCAAATTTTCTGGAGTGGGGCCTGGCATGTCTGTAGTATTGCCTAGAATTGGTCTTGCACTTTTGCAAGACCAAGACCACAAAAATTGTTGCAAGACCAAGACCAGACCCTGCAAGCCTTGCAGTTAAGTTAAACTGAGAATATTTTCAGATACAGTACAGTGCTTAAATATTTGAATCATCTAATCTTAAACAGTGTTGTTCTTCTTGTGGAATTGCATATTTGAGTATAGCTTTCCAAATAATAATAAAAAATTAATTTTTTTTCGTACTCCCCCTATCTCGCCTTATACGGGGGTTTTCGCGGGCCAGAGAGTGAGGGCGGGGCATTAATGACAGAGTTAAAAGACCCCTCGGGCAGCGGGACGGGAACTCATAATTATTTGATTGTCTTCAATTTCGGTTATCAGGTTTCCGGGCAACGCGCAGTGCTGTGCTGTTAGACCGCTCAGCCATCCTGTCCCTAAAAATTAATCATTTTCCAGGACCGGAGCAAGATAAGAAAACAAAACAAAAAACGCGATTTCATGAATAAAAATTAAGACTAAATGGTTACTAATATTAGATCATTTTAGTTACTATAGTTAAACTTCTTTAAACAAGAAGCAGATACTCACGGGGAATCAAAAATTGCCCTCTATAGAGAGATGTCCGTTTTAAAAAATTTGTTAAAATTTATATCGTGAAAATAAAATCGTTTATTCGATTAAAAACATTTTTCTTTTTAAACTTACAATTTAAAAATACTTTTTAAGAAATTTAATAATATTATTATTATATTTTGCATAATAAAATTTCACATAAGAAACGTAAACTTTTTTTTATATAGAAAAAAAAAAATAATAGTAATTTCTAGTTTTTGTTTGGACTAACTATTTTGTTTCTCAAATTTGTTATAGATAGATAAAATCGTCACAATTATTCCACTTCCTCCTTCAAAATGAAATTGTTTCTAAGCCAACTAATGTGAGAGAACTTCTTTAATATTCACTCAGGATATTTGGCAGTGGATCAGCTGATGCGAAGGTTGTCTCCTCAACTCCTCTCTCAGTTTTTACCAATTTTATAGCGGAATCTCTCTGATTATTCTCGTAATACAGTTAAAGTGTATATCAGAGCAGTTGATATTTACTGTTGGCATCTTTTTTTTTTGTTATTTAAAGAAAAAAAAAAAATTTTTTTTTATTTATTTTTTTTTTTCTCTTATGATATGCGGTATGATCAGCAAGTGATGGCCAGTAAGGTGCCCAAGAGGTCTCGGTCAAACGGAGTTAGCTCACCAGCCAAACAAAGGACTCGTCGCTGCCTATGAGAAATACCTCCAGTGACCGAAATGAACACTTCAGAACCAGAACCTCAGCCCCAACCAGGTACGTCTGCACAAGAAACGATTGAAGAATCACATTTCTTTACTCCAAACCCCTACCAAGTGCTTCAAAATGACAGAGAAGTAATGGTTTCTGCAGCAATACCCAGAGAACCAAAGCCTCCTCCGATATTTGTGAAAAATATAAAAAATTTCCAGATGTTCTGCACCCAACTAAATAAAATCTGCTCTGGCAGTTATTCATGCCTTAACAGGACCAATGACACCAAAATAACACCTGATTCTGCAGAAGCCTACCGAAAAATAGTGAAGTACTTATCAGAAACAAATGCGAATTTTCACACTTACCAGCTGAGGCAGGAAAGAGCTTTACGAGTAGTGATTTTTACACTCCTCAACCCCCACTGAAGTTATTAAAGAAGAAATAACGACGCTTGGTTTCAATGTACGCCAGGTAACAAACGTTTTGAAGGAGGACAGAGAGCAGCCAGGATTACGAAATAGGATCCCACTACCATTGTTTTTCGTGGACTTGGAGCCATCACCAGGTATCGAAAAAATATATGATATCACAAGAATATACTACACAATGGTGAAAGTTGAGAAGCCATATCCCAACAGAGACATCGTGCAGTGCCATAATTGTCAGACCTATGGCCACACAAAGACATATTGCCACCATCTGCCGCGTTGCGTGAAGTGCGGTGAACAGCACAAATCTGTAGAGTGCACCAAACCTATACAAGATCCAGCAGTATGTGCCCTATGCTTGGAGGGACACCCGGCCAACTACAAAGGCTGCCAAATTTACAAGAATCTCAAAACCAGACACCAGAAAAACCGGATTCAAGATGAAGCAGTAAGAACAAGAAGAGAGAGAGAGCCTTCCAGAATTGTAAACAATGATGTATCATTCTCCCAACTACTTAGAGGTAAGACTTTAACCGATAAATGTCAAGCCCTGCCACAACAACAACCTCAACCCCAACCTCAAAATCCTCTTCATCCTAATATACCTAACCACCAACAACAAATTCCTCATATTCCTCCTCCTTCAAATGCAACAGATCTCACAAGTTTGTTAGCATCTCACCGATTTCAAATCCCTTGTTACTCCACTCATATCACTCCTCACGAATCTCGTATCTCACCTCATCCCTCCTTTAAAAAATCCTTAAATGACTCACATCCCTAAACCCATATCCATTCT